GGAGGCTGAGGCAGGAGGATTTCTGTGAGTTCAAGGGCTAGCCTGGGCTACAGAGTGAAAACCAGTCCACTGCCTTGCCTTCATTCAGCTATGGACACAACACCACCCCAGTAATGATCCCCGTTAAGCTTAGGAGGTTGAGAAGCCTGAGGCAGCAGATCATCCACACCACTGAGACAGACTGGAGCAGCCAGAGTCTGACCACAGCGGGAGGCACCTGGAGTTAAATACTGAGGACTGAGTTATCCGGGTTCCTCTTCTTCCTCCCGGAGCCCAAGCGCCCACACACCGGCCCGAGCGTGCCTGCGCGGATACCGTGGGCACCGCTACCAGCTCCTTCCCGGAGAACTTCACCGCCACCAGTGCAGCGTCGCCTGCGACCACGGGCTCCTCTTCCTCCTCCTCTTCCCGTTTTGCCCTTCTGCCTGCTGCTGCTGCGCCCTCCAGGGTCTTCAACAGCTGCAGCTACTCACTACCAAGCGTGCGCGTGGCCATCCTTGTGCGCCTGGACTGTGTCTGGCCCGTGCCGCTGTAACAGTATTAAGAAGAGCGGAGTTGGTTATGCACAGCGCTCTGGCACGGCGCTGGGGCGTAGCGAGTACTCAGCACTAAGCAGTGAGAAGCCCGGGTGTGGGTCTTAGTCTGTCCCGTAGTGGAATGTGCGGGCTTGGGTTGAAATTGGTTGGTCAGGCTTTCCCGAGTGGGGGCTCCAGACCAGATGCCAGGGCTGAGCGGGGACAGGGGGCAGGAGGAAGAGGCCATCAGGATGGGGACGGGAGCTACACCCTGCTGGGAGCCCGGAGCTCTGGACCCCACCTGCTGTGTGACCTTGGACAATGAGTGCCCCTCTCTCTGGCCCAGGTTTCCCAGAAAATGTAAATCGAGGTGGTAGGGCCAGCTGCATCCGCGTCCGTGGCAGCCCAGGCTTCTTAAAACATGGGTCCTGCCCCTCGACGGGTTCAGGTCAAAGATCCAGCCAGGAAGCAGGCTTCACACCCAAAGGGCTCCAGCGAGGTGCAGGCCAGGGCACCCCTCTCTCCCCGCCTGCAGCCGGCTGCCTCCTGGTTGGCTACGGAGGGCGCTTGGAGGGGAAGGAGAAGCCACAGGGAGGAAAGTGTCTGAGGCCGCCGCGGGGTGGGGCTGTAGCCCAGTGTGAAGGCCCTGGGTTCAGTCCCCTGTAGGAGCAGCCTACGAGTTTGTACCTGAGGTGGGGGCAGCAAACGAGGGTGAAAAACAGACACAAAATTAGGTTAACATGTGAGAGGCCAGGGGCTCTCATCTCCCTTCGACAAGGAAGGAGCCCCGAATGTCAGGCACACCCAGCTTTCATTCACTCAGACACAAATAAGCAATTAGAGTAACGTGGGTAAGCAACCGGATTCAGCGGGGCTGACCTTTCCCTAAAGCCTGTGGTGTGAAGCCACACACACACACACACACACACACACACACACCCGGTCACAATACTGCCTTGCTTAGAACCTTCCACCTGGTAACAGTAAGATCCAAAGCTGGGTGTGGTGGCTCTAATCCCAGAACTCAGGAGGCTGAGGCAGGAGGATTACCACAAGTTTGGGGCCAGCCTGAACCACATAGTGAGATCCTATCTTTTTCTTTTTCTTTCTTTCGTTCTTTCTTTTTTCTTTTTCTTTTTCTTTTTTTTTTCTTTTTTTTTGTCTTTTTGAGACACGGTTTCTTTTCTTTTTCTTTTTCTTCTTCTTCTT